ACCGTCAACAAGTCTACAGAGGGACGTTCGCTGGTTTTCCATCGAATCAGCCGGATTCGACCACCATCTGACGGAGACGAGACAAAAGGTCCAGATCGCTGGAGGGCCCAGGAGAAACCGGACAAGAAACCACAGTTTTGGCGTCACGAGGAACAGGCCTGTAAAAAGCTTTAAAAGGTTAATATCAAATCGATGGAGGTTTTTTACAGTCGTAAATGCTTCTGTTAATTTGGTTATTTGTCGATACTGACGTATCGAAGGGGGGAATGTCGTATATTTTCATGTATGGCCCTTTAAGAGAATGTGAACGAGCGTCAGCTCGTGGGCACGCGCTCTTTGTCAGAGTTCTCAGTAACATCTAGCTGTGTGGAAGCTCTCGGGTGTCTCTCGTGAATAAACATGTCCAAAGCTGAGGAAATAGTCTCTCCTTCATTCAAATGTTAGATTAGAGTTTATCGACATGTGACAAGACTTCAGACTTCTGTTGTCATTGATTTAATGTTCGGCCGGGTTTTGCTGTGTTTCTCTGAGTTCCTAGGTTAAAAAACCCGAACAAATATCCATTGCAGTCTTATATACATATATTACATTACATTACATATATACATATATTATATATACAGCTGTCTCACTGCATTATTTACTGATTAAACCTAGTTTATATAGACATAACCCTGTAGAAAATAAAAGTTACTCTGACTCAGCACTACTTTCCTGAGGTGTGTCTCAGATCAACTCATTTTATTGTCCCATGGGACAATTTGATGATGGTGCTTCACGCCCCGCCCCCCTCCAGCTTCCAGACCGGTCCATTGTAGTTTGATACAGGTGTTTATGACTACACAGCAGCGCAGAAATGTTTTGATTATTAATGAATTAAAAGATGTCAACAATGGAAGACTTGTCCATCCAACCTTACATGTTGGAACCAGAGTGTGACCCAGAGCCAGAGGAGAGCGAAGACGACTTTAAGTTGGTGAGTCCAGACCTTATTTAACAGTTCTGTCACTAATAATTTGAGGTAATAGTTCAGAAAACATYATAGGAAATAGAGAAAGCAGAACAAGTTGATGACCGAAACAGAATGTAAATTCAACTTTTCTGCACTAGCGACTCGAAGTTCACCAAAGTGTATTAAACAGCTCAAAAATAGGATTTTACAGGTATGCCCCCTTTAAACTGCATCTTGACTTGGGCATCAGAAGAGGAAACCACTGTTCCCCAGGATAACGGCACACGGCTCACGGCACTGAGGTGTTCGGAGGGCAGTGTATCCCCGACCATTATCAGGTGATTATACTTAGTACTGGTGCCAGAAAATTGCATGGTGGTTTGTACAGGTAAATAATTAAATACTATCAGGTTCTCAATAGTAGACCATTTCAATTATGGGGTGTGAAAAAATGAAAGTTCCCTAATGGAGGCATGACTGAAAATCACTGGTCCACTTKTCAAGACAAACTGTCTCTTTCCCATTGACAGGAAAGGAGCCTCTCTGGTGGGGATTAGCATAATCCCAGGTGACACCATCATCATCTGTACAAATATGTAAGAAATCACTATACATAGTCTCCACTCGATTTATAAAATTCCTGACAAATATCTGTTGTGCTTTTCTTTTTAATCTTTGACAATGACTTATCTACATGAATATGTTTCCATGTCCATGTTGGCCACAATACTGTGTGGTATATTTACGTCCTATCCCTTTAAGAAACGTGGACGAGCATCAGACCGTGAACGTGTCTGACCGGAACGCGCATGGGGGCGGACACGAGCTCTTTGTTTAGTTTCTCCGTAACATCACGTTGTTAAGGACCTATTTYTTGTCTCTCGCTGAATAAACATGTGTACAAGCTGAAGAAGTCGCCTTTTTTCATTTCTTTATCAGTCTAAGAGTTTTTTAACAGTCAACAAGTCAACAGCAGGACGTTCGCTGGTTTTCCATCGAATCAGCCGGATTGAGCCACCGACTGACTGAGACGAGACGAAAGGTCCAGATCGCTGGAGGGCCCAGGAGAAACCGGACAAGAAACCACAGTTTTGGCGTCACGAGGAACAGGCCTGTAAAAAGCTTTAAAAGGTTAATATCAAATCGATGGAGGTTTTTTACAGTCGTAAATGCTTCTGTTAATTTGGTTATTTGTCGATACTGACGTATCGAAGGGGGGAATGTCGTATAT